TTATACAGAGCTTGCCGGGGAATGAGTGAGTGAGTGCTCAGTCTGGAGTTAGGTCTCTGGCGTTACAACTGTGCTATAGAGTTAAGTAGAGATGTAAATTTCTGTCCAGGTAATATTTTTGGTTTTGTAGGCAAACTTTATCTCTGTCGGTAAAAGCACACCTAAGACTGTGGGCCATTATATAGCTAGCCCTCTGCAATTACTCAATTTTTTTTTTTTTTTTCACATTTCTGCAGAGGGTATTTTACCTGTAGAGATGATATGGGTAAGGTTTCAAAGTACATTTCAGTTGGCAGAAAAAAAAGTAGAAATATTTGAAACATTGTATCTCATGTTCCTCAGTATCTAATTGTAGTGCTGTGCTTAGTGAATTCACTGAGCAATCTCAGGCAGGCTGCATGTAAATCTTTTTTTCTAACTCTTGTTTTGAAGTGTGTTTAAACAAACACAAGTTATCTTCTGGTAAAGGTGGTATGTCCCAAGTGTTATGTTGGGAAAATCACTGAAGGAAATCACTTAGAAAAAATGCACTTTTTTTTTACTTTTTTTTTTTTTTTTTTATGTTTTCCCCCTTCAGGTCCTGGAATCTTGACCCGAACTCTGCTCAATGCAGGTGTTAGAGTGGTAGCTCTAGAAAGTAACTCAGCTTTTCTTCCAAACTTACAGGTACACTTTTGATTTGGTAGCACATTTCTAAAACTTAATTAAAGGGAAAATAAGAAATTACCTTACAATTGTGTAATAACTATTAGATCAAAAAGGAATTAGCCAGTGATTGTTACTTGTAACTTTTGAAATAATGCTTAATAATTTTAAGTGTTGTTTGGTTTTACATTGCACGTTTGACAACAGGCTATTTTGTAATCAATTGATTTGACGTTTGGTGTATACAGGAATTCAAGTTCATAGTCTTCCTATGAATAGTTTCATGCATAAACTTGAGGCTAATACTAATCAGAGTCATTGTAGCTGTGTATGTTTAAGCAAGATGTTGGTGTGTAGCTTTCAGAAATCTGTAAAAATAGTCTTGGTTATTTTGATTACCTCATGGTGTTATTTAATCTATCTATTGTCCTGCAATTGACTGGTAATATTAAGACACTTAAATGCGTTATCCTCTGCTGTTCATCTGGGCTTTGCATGGATTCAAAGGTGGTCAAACACAGAGCTGCAGAAGTTGCACTAAAAGGATTGTGTTACAATGCTATAAAGTAGAAGTTTGGAACCAAAGACTCTCACCTAACTTCAAATGTATATAAAAGGCATCAGTCTGCATATATGAAGAATTCCAGTTGTAAATCGTTAAATGCAGTGGTTTGTTTCGTTGAGCATAGCTTTTTTTGCAAAACACTGTAGAACATCTTACTAATTTAAGAATGTGTTTTAAAGCTCCAGTTGAGCAGCACAAAAATGTCAAAATGCCCTACACAATGAAGGGAGCTATTCTTTTTATCAGCTGTAGAGAAGCAGCTCTGAGATTTGACTCTTGTTGACTGGGTAACAATTTTTGGTAGCACTTGAACGTTTTTTTGTTTGGGTTGGGTGTTTTGCCAGACAGGTTACTGCATCCAGATTTCTTCAACTGACACTAATTTAATTCAGTCCCTAGAGAACAGCCTGGATGGACAATTAAAGGTAATTTATTGTGACTTCTTCAGACTGGATCCTTTGGTGAATGGAACGCTGAAACCGCCTGCTATGTCTTCTGACAAACTTTTTGAAACCGTGGGTGTAGCAGCAGTTCCTTGGAGGGCAGGTATGTGTATATGATCACACATGGTACAAATACATTTGACAGGTGCATAGGCAATTTGGCAAAATCTTCGGGATTTGCTTGAGGTATGTGTTCTATTTAATATATATGCTGGATTAATGGATATTATTTCCTACATTTCAGCTTTATTTAGGTTCTTGATAGCTTCAAAAAACCCTTGTGGCAATATGAAATCTTAGCTATTTGCTTGTCTTTAATAAAGGTTTAGTCTAATGCAAACTGGGCTTAGCTTTGACTAAAGCTTGAATTGTATTCATTCTTGAACAACATGAGCTGACAGACTTTCTTTTCTTAATTGTTTGTAGTTTAGACATTAGCATTAATGAGATTGTCTAGTACATATGGCACAATTTTAAAGATACTTTTACACACTGTTGGAACAGATGTACCTGTGAAAATTTTTGGAATCTTACCACAAAAAAAGGAAAGGAACATACTTTGGAGGCTTCTTTTTGCCCTGTATGAATGCAGTTCCATATACAGATATGGAAGAGTAGAACTCAACATCTTTATAAGTGAAAAAGAGTACAAGGTATGTGTAAGAGATTTTACAGGTAGTAAAGATTAAGTAGTGCTTCACAGAACACAAAAACATTTCTATTGTATAGTTAATGTTTTTGCTAGTGAATTTCTTTTTCTGCCAGAATTTTTAAGTCTTGTCTGTTTCCTCTCTTTATGTAGTAATAGTACTGTCAAGAAACATTCTGTTGTCACATAACCACAAATCTTACAAATGTGAAGGCTGGTCCTTGAGAAGGATATGTAGCAGCAGACCAGCTGCTTTCCATTGTAACTTGTGAGGTGCTTAAACTCTGTAACGTGTTTTTGCAACAAAATTGTTTACTAGTTGCAGGTTACAGTCAATGAAGACTGAATTCAAAATGCTCAGTGAAGACGATTCAGAGTTACTAAATACCATACTCAGTGAGATGCACTTGCCCTCTTGAGCCACTTCTGTATACAGTACAGAAAAAAACTGAGGCAAAACATGAGTGATTTATACACCTTTTTATTGAGATTCTGTACACTAAGGTGCAGAGCAGCTTTCTGGGTTATGTCTTCCTAATTTATGCTGTCCCAAACCTCTAGAACTGTACTTACAGTTCAAGGGTAGCTTTTCTTTCTGTGAAACTGTGAGGCTCATACAGAGCCACGAACCTTTAATTACTTGAAGTAAGCAAAGACTTCCAGGTGTCCTTACACAACCTGTGTTGTGTCCAACATCCTACTGAAAAAATTAGAAGTCTTAAGTATATTCTGTGAAATGACAGGTTGGACACCACTGAAGTATCCACTTAAATGATATGTTTTTAGTGCCCAGATTTTTGAGCAAATAGGGGATAGCCTATTAATTTAATGCAGTCACAGTGTTTTTTATGAAGTTTTCTGGTTTTATTGTGAACCCTGATAAATGAGAGTTGTTTGCCTAAGTAAAAGCAACTGGAACCTTCTTTTTGTTTTTTGGTTGATCATATGATGAGGATCTCTAAATCTGTTATGAGAAGTTAAATCTCCCTGCTACAATTTACTTCTTTCTTTGCCGTGTTTGAGAATAACCACAAGTTTTTCTTGTTTTCTTCCCCTAAGAGTTGTGTGGTATATAATATTGATCAAGATAATGACTGCGCAAGCTGCTTAATATTCAGTGAGGTCACCTGATGTTTGGCTTACTCTGCTTGTGTGTCTTATTGGGAATATTATCAGTGTGAGCTGATAACTCTGATAAGAAATATTTAGACTGCCATAATGTCTTCTAAAGGTGTTCTGACAAGATGTACTCAGATAGCACAAAGTATGTATTTGAGGTCTAACGTAACTTTACCTTAGAATTTTAGACTTAACTGTGAATTTCATACCCGTTGTTATATATATATAAGGATTTTGCTTAGATAAAGAAGCAATCTTAGTTTGTGCAACAAAAATGCTCTTTCTTTGCCATTTTGTTAGGTTTTAACAGCAAAGCCTGGGGAAGCTAGGAGTTACCAAGCACTTACTGTACTTTGGCAAGTAGGGTGTGAAATTCAGCTACTGCACATGGTAAGTTTTTTGTACCAGCTGATGTGGTCTAATGCTATGGACATCTTTTTAGAAAAGGGTTTGTAGTGTTTTACTATCATAAACTAATTGGAAGCTAATTTGGTGTTTAAATTAGTTGGAGAAGTATTGAAAACTTTTGGATGTAAAAACCTGAAACAGTGATGTTCTGTGTCAAACTCTTTACTTAAGTGGCATCATTACAGTGACATTATGATGTCAGTATTGTCATTACAACCCACTGTACTCAAAACCCATTTATTCTCAGAAGCTGGTAGATAAGAAAGAGATGTTTGTGCAATAGGTATGTCTTTCCATCTTGCTAGGGGTTGTGTGAGACTAGAAGACTGCTCTTCCAGTCTGTCATGGTCTGCTCTTTGTCCTCTGCATTTTGCCATCATGTATGCTTTTGACTTCCTGAGCTGTGTTCAGCTGAAATATGTTTTTAACTTTGTGCCTTTATATTCCAAGCAGGCCTGCTTCTCCTGCTAGTCAATAACTTCTTACCTTGTCAAACATGCTGTGGTTTAGTTTTAAAAAGTTTTTTATGTTGTCACTCCGCTCTTACAGTCAGCTGTCGGTTTTTAGCTTTGGTTCAAATTTTGGACTTGAAACCAATAGGTAGCCCCACTAATGTATGGTAATACGTACAAGTTATTTGATTGTAAGTAATTTACCAGTGCTACTCACATACTTTGTCAGGAATGTGATTAAATAACATTTTTAGTCTGGCCTTTGTGTGCTTATTATTTGACTTTTTTTTTCTAGTGCTAATGTATTTACATGATTTTAAAGTAAATTTTAAAATGTGGGTAAACTTCTAATTTGATGGGATTGATGGTAAATGTTTTTCCAAATTTTAACAAAGCACATTAATTCTGTAACATATTTTCTCCCTCCCGTAGGAACCTTGGTCATCATTTGTAACTAATTTGAAAAACAGGGGACTGGCGGTACCAAAAAGCGTGGTAAGATCCTTATGTGTGCTTTTCTCCTTTTGGAGATGCAGCTAAACCACTTTTAATTAAAGGTTAAAATAACTTTATAACAGCATTTACACATATATGTTTTGGCTGTGAATAGTGTCTTTTTTAAGAAGTGTTCTTCTAATTAAAACTTATGGGCAGCATGTAGATGCATCAGAAGTGGAGTGAGGAATTGCTATTAGCTTAGAAACTGAAATAAACCGGTATCTTTATTGTCTGTGATGGAAAAAAATATAGTGAATAAACAGCATAAAGGGATGTAAACAGGTAAAGTCCTTTTCAAAAGAAGTTGCTGACAGGGTCACTTCTATCTGTTTGAACAAAACAAGTGTGACCACAATTAATAGCACAATCAATATGCTGCTGGTTTTGATTAAAATGGTCATTCACATGTCCAGTGTAGATTTTGTGTGCTAGTTAAATGCTGAAAAGTGTGAGTCTCAAAGCTTCAATTTGAGAAGTGGAAAAATACCTTGTGTAAAGTTCTTTACTTTTCTCCAAAAGAGAAGTAATGAAGTTCCTTTGTATAATATAAGAATATTTCTATTTAATACCAATAATATAAAAGCATGTTTACTTAATATTTGGTTTTGCCCTCCCCAGAAAACTGCTACAGTAGTACACTGAGTGTTTTTTGAAATGTTACTGTATAATATAAGTGACCATAAGTGACTGGGTGTGCCTTACACACTTAAGTGTGTTGCTCTAAAGCCATGTAGAGGCATATCAGGTGGACTACGTAAGATGTATTGTGACAGCCTTAGGAGAGGTACAGATGTGAGATCTGTTGGATGGATGCATTGGATATATTGGATCCATTGCTGCCAATACAGAAGTACATTTATTTCAGTTAAAGACTCCACCCCCTCCCAATTTCATAAAATCCTCAAGTTGGAATATTGTCTTAGTGTTGCACTCAACTCTGTCTTTATGTACAAAAGGCAGGTGGATCTGATACCTTGCATGGTATAGGAGTACTGTAGACCATATAATCTCTTGAAAACTCACATCAAGCCTGTGTTGTCTGTTTCAAATAAGAAAGTTCAGTCTTAAAAAATAAAAATAAAACTGAAGTGATAGTATGTCTGTTTTGTTTCCTATTTCTTTCCTGTTTGGGGGGTGGGGGGAGGTGAAGCTTCTTCATTCTAGAACAAAATTTTAATGCCTCAGCTTCCAACAAAATCATCTTGTTAAAACTTCTAAGAGTCTTTAAGAAATGTTACTTGTGGCACAGATGAAACGCTTATTCTTAGCTAAAGACAGACGCTGTCTTAAAAATGACTTTTTAGTGTTTTGTTTTGTTTTTCTTGTAGTGGCTGCCAAATGACCATTTATGTTTGGTACGACTGACTCCTCAACAAAATCTATTTACAGGAGGCTTGAAGCCCACAAATTCAGCTACGTTTATTTTCATGGTGAAACAGTGTCTTGCTAAACCCAAGTCTAGACTTACTGATAGATTAAAGTAAGTAAGAATTACAGTTTTTACACTTTTTCTTCAGAGAAATGTAGGAAAATATTACAATATGTTCTCAAAGCAGTATTTATTTGCAGCTGAAATACAGCTTTTTCTTTTTTTTCTTTAAATTAATTATCTACATGTAGAATAGAAGATTGGATTTTTGCAACTCACAATACAATGTTTTGGGGACTGTTCCTGGCTTGTATTCAGAGAGGATAAAAACTTGAGATTTGACAGGAAGGTCAACAAGTATTTAGAATGTAGATGTGCAGTAATTGTCTGTAGCTCCAACGGAGGAGAGGTCATGTATCTGCAAGAAGTTTTCACTCACTCTGTAGACATAATAGTAAAGTCACCAGGAGTTTTGCAGGTACAGAAATTAAAAGCTGAAAAAGAGTTTCAGTTTATAACAGACATCAAAGTAATGCTAATGAAAACAGCTGGAGGTTATTGAAGGTGAAGTGGGGATGTCCTCAAATGGCTTTCTGTTATCTAGTTAAAAAACTAGGCTTTAGACTTATTTACCAATTATGCAACTCTAATTATTCTTTTTGGTATTACATTGGAGCTATTCACTTTGCTTTATGATCAGTAGATTTCCATTTCCCATAAATGGGAAATGTTTGCAGTCTGGAAAGCATTGACTTCAACTAGTTAATGAAAATAATTAACATATTTCTCATTTGCTGGTAGTGGTTTATGGAAGTTCATTTCCAGAAAGGAAGGGGGGAAAAAAAAACCCAATAAATTCCAGTTAACTCATTCAGCAAAGACAACTGCAAAGAGCCTTAATGTATTTCTGTCTTAAAGCTCAGTGGTGTACCTAATCTCCACTTGATCCTTTGGCCAGGAAGTAGAGCTAACCTTGAAGGCTTCTAATGTGCATCTTCTGTGTATTTATGCACCCTTTTCTTGTCTGGGAAATAGTTAATGTACATGCACTTTTATAAAAGGTCTAGTTTTCAGAGCAACAATGTAGATGGGGAGACAGTTGATACATCTGTGTATATATAGAATAAAATACCTGGGAGGTGTAAGTCACACTAATTCATGCTATACTGAATCATCTTCTTGAAGATGACCTTGGCTTTAATTTCCCAGGCATTGAAGAATAACCCCTTTTTATGCTGTGATGCCTGTTACTGACTGACGCAGTTGGGGCAGAGGAGGGAGGGAGGGCACCCACCCTCTAATGAGGAAGCTTATGTGGTTTAGTATTGTCTGTGTCTGCTGGGGGCTTTATTTGGTATTTATATGTCTTGCTAGCAGAGGTTTCTTCCTCTTTGCAGTATGGACTGAAAATAACTTGTGTTCCAGGAAGATGCTAGCTTCTTCTAGAAGCTGCAAAAGAGTGAAATGGATCTTCAGATACTGTTTCTTGCTCTTTATTTTTTCACAGAAAGAAATGCTCTGTTATGATTTTTTGTTTGTTTGTTTGTTTCAGTTCATGGAGCTTGGACAATGGTGGCAAATTACTGAGAGAGTTAGAAATTCCCAAAAATGCCAAAACACGTAACTTATACCCAGAAGACTATAGGCGTCTTTTTGAGGCTTTGCAAAACTCTAATATGTTTGCTGACGCCTGGTTCCATGATGAAGTCTTGGGAAGTATAAGGAACATAAACTTATAAATCTAAAGCTGCTGTCTTTTGGAAGATCACCTTTGCTTCTGGAAGATTACTTTGATAAGAAATGATTTAAATAAAATTGGAGATACTGTTAGCTGGATGACTTCCTGTCCAAACAGGAAAATAAATTTAGCAAGTTATAAGAGCCCTTCTACACAGGATGAAAGTAACGGATTCACAGTTATTTGATCACAATCCTATCTAGAATGGACAAACTTTGCATGTTTTCCAGGAGCATATTAGTGACCTGCTGCTTTTGGATGTACCACTTAAACGGAACTTTTTGTTACACTGCTGTATATTTACAACATTTGAAAAAAAAAAACCCAGACCAAATACCGTTATTTTTGTGGTTTGTATTTTAGTGCTCAGTGATTTGAACGCCTTTTCACAGATTCCCAAAATACATAGGCCTTTACAGCCACTGAATCTGTTATATTGTCTCCTGATCTAAAAACCTTGCAGTCTAAAGTCAACATAGTATTAATAAATCAATAGCAGTGGGTTAATAGAAGACAAGGTAATGACAGCATGATAAAACATCAACTGAGAATTGGGGGGTTTTACCTAAAGGTTGTTATATCTCTGGGGAAAAAAGTCATAACAATTCTTTCTTTTGAAAATTTGAAAAGAACACTGGGCAGCCTGTTCTGGTTTACAGTATGTAAACGCCTATATGCGTATAGGCTTTTTCTTATTTCAGGTCTAAAAACAAAGTCACCAGAACATTCAGTGCTGTATAAACAGTTTGGGGGTGTCCTGGTTTTGGACATCTTACCTCCAACCTTTGTCAATATGTATTTGTTTAATGTGTATTATATGTACAAAATAACTTACTTCAAAACCATATGCTATTAAAATTCTCTTTTTAGCCATAGTACTCCATAATGCAACCTGTTCCTAGTTTCTCTTCCTGTCTTATCATGTAACTGTTCTGTTGTTGTCCAATAGTGCTGGCAGGCTGTACTGGTTCTGTGTTCTATACTGTCTCCTCTGGGAAGAGCTGTGGCCAAAAATATGCTTTTTTAGCAGAGCACGAGTTAATAAAATGCCTAAAGGCTGAAATATTTTCAGGCTTTGGAAAACAGCAGCGACCAAAACAATGCAAACACAGAACTGTATTTCTTAAGCATAGTGTGAGGTATAGATGTGACAAGCATTCATCTCTGTCTTCCTCCTGCAGTTTCTGCTGTAGAAGAAAAACTGACTTCAAGCAGCCTCAGTTCACTCTGCTAGCTAGGCTGCAGCTATCTGTTGAAGCTGCTGATAAGCCTTTGTAATGTTATGATGAAACTGCTGGAAAGGCTGAGGTTTAATTTGCAGTCTGTCTCAGAGCATTACTGGTGTTCTAGTGTAGGTCATGAAGATTTGAGGCTTTCTTTCTGTTTACATATCTTACCGTTTCAGGTAACTTGCATTATTCACCAAATTCACCATGAATGGCAAAAACTTGCATCAGCAGAAGCAATTCTGCCTGTTTTCAATCTCAGGAGATGGTGACTGTCTTATCTACTGGTCTGCAAGAATGCAGTGTCTCCTGGGCTGATTGCCCACCACCACCTTGAACCAAATACCTTGCTCTTGTTGCAGCAAGATGTCTTGTATCAACATACCAGGAGAAGTATTCCATGCATAAAATATAAGACCACCACTGTGTATATAAACTTCTTTAACTGTGTTGCTGATAACATTTCAAACATGAACTGAAAAAAAAAAAAAAATTGCTGTGATTTTTTGATGCTGTTGGAAAACAGCATTTACTGAGCCAATGCAGAGACTCCCAAAATAACAGCAGTAACTGGGGAGTTATATTGTGTAACTGGGGACTTGAAACGAGATTTAATGCTAACCAGAACTCTGCCATTAAGTCTAAGTGTAAGCAATATGTTTAGCCCTGATCACAAATGTCAAATGAACAATGGCTGCCATTATAAAAATGGTTTTGGTACTGATGGAAGAGAGGAAAAAAGTGGAAATTACTGGTGTACGTGAATAAACACAGGGGAGTGAAATTGAAGGAGGTCTATGGATTTGATTAATTGGTGCTATCCACTCAGTACTTCCTACTGTTGCAGGTTTACAGCTTCTGTAGGATAATGTTGAACGCAAACTTTCACTGAAATTTTAAATTGTATATGGAGGTTTCTCATGTTGTTAGGATTTTTAACCAACCCTGTACTACTTGTGTTCCTTTCCTTTGCATATCTGCCCTTGCCTTATTCCTCGATATGTTGATGGAAAATTGAGCCAATATCTCTTCAGTTATTTTTTATTCATGTAAATGCAATGACAGAACTTGCAACTAGGAAAACAGGATATACATTTAGGTTAATATTTCAGTTTAATAACCCTCAAAAATGCTACTCAAAGAGAAAACTGCAAACTCACTCAAAATTTAAAATGCTAGACCTTCTCAGAAGATAAGATCTTCATACTAACTTTGAGACCAAACGGTTTACAGGAACGACTTTTCTATCATGGTGGGATAGCAAAGTTTCCCATTTCTGAAAGTGCATTAATTTGCAAGTGAGTTACTGTGCCAGATACAGTAAGTAATAAAAAGTATTTTAAAATTAGCACCAACATTGGAAAATGTTGCACAACTTGGTTGTTTTTTACATAATTTTGTGTTATGATACTATTTATATGTAAGATATAAAGTAATAGATTTTTGAAATTACATTAATTAGCTGCAAGCTTTTGGGCAGATTTATTTCTTCCTATGTTTTCCTGTCTTTGAATCTGTGATCTTGGGTGAGATGAAGATTACAACATGCATGCAACATACTTAATAGAAGGTGCACAGTATAGCATATTCCTTTCAATTATTTCCAGACTGTGGGTTGTGGTTTCTTTTTTTTTTTTCCTTTTTTTCCCCCAAGACCTATTTAATTAATGAACCTCTAAAACATGAACTACACATGATACATCTGTCAAGTAGAACTCTTAAGTATTGCTCCCACTATACAAATACTGTTTCTTAGAGGAGTTGCCAGGAAAATGGCTTTTGGCACGCCGTATTAAAGCACTGATATGTCATAGGTTGTACACTGATTGTAACTTCAGAGGTGCTAAGTCTTTTCTAATGGCCCTCACCATTTGTGCCATCTATTTGCCTGTAAAAGAAAATTATATGACACTGATGGCAATTGGCTAAAGTTTTACTACTTCACTATATTAAAATCATAGCAAACACAAACAGAAAGAAACTTGGTCCTTAATGACGCCCAGTTAATGGGAAATTTTGCCACTTGGAATTAGGAGATCAGTCCAGTTGGATTCTGTAGTTAGTAGTTTGCTTTTGATCCTGAAGGGTTTGGGACCTTGTACTAATTAACACAGTAGATGATGTGATAAGGGGTTGTTATGGTGGAATGTGCACATACTGGCTACCAGGCTTGTTCAGCGTTGGACATTTTAATAATTACAGCTTAGCCTTGCAGGCAATGATAATGTTGATGGAAATATCAACATAAAACTTGAGAAACAGATTGTGTGGTATAGTTTAAGATGTGTAAGTGTGATAGGAAGAACCTGAGGCTTCCTAGGAAGAACCTGAGGCTTCCTGAGAAACATGTTGAATTCATTGTTCCGGCAGGCTAAACTCAATCTATGGGGCTGTAGATTGAAAACTCCAATCTAAGCTTTGCAAGCCTTTAATTAAGCAAAGCTGTACCTTTCTTCTGTAAACACAGAGAAGATGGAAATAACAAGTAACTTTTCCAGAAAGGACAACAAGTCAGTGGGAGTTGTTTATTCTCTCACATTGTATCCTTGCTCAATAGCTATTGCGTCTTTCCTTGTGTATGCTGTTTGACGTGTCACTGCTAAAAATAGACATGCTGGCTGTCCCCAGCTGATAGAACACAACACGCAGCAAGCATACAAAGCCCAAGGGAAATTAGGGGTAGTTAAGATACACCAAATGGAACAGTCAATTACTCATAATGTAAGCAAGACTTTAACGCTTGACGTAGTTGATCCTATTGATAAGACACCAAATAGACAAACAGCTAAGAAATTATGCTGACGAACTTCAGAAGCTTGTTTCTGCCATCTGAAGAAAATTAATGTGTTTGAGGCAGGGAAGATGCAAATAAAAATGAAAAGTTTTTGTAAAGTTCACAGTAAAAAATCAAGAGGTAAAATCTATGTATCTGTGAGTGAAATTTATTATGAATTTGTGCTTAAAATGCTTCTGCAGTGAGGTTTTTTTAATTTTACCTTCTAGAATCGATTTTTAATGAGCACACCAACATTAAATGGTTGGACTGGATGATCTTAAAGGTCTTTTCCAACCTAAATGATTCTATGATTCTATGATTCTAAAAGTGAAGAGACCTCGTCAGGAGATTCCTATGTGTTCATAAAAGATCTGTCTGTGCTTACAAGCTTTCAACTAATTATTTGATAGCTATTCTATACCATTCGTGACACAGATTTTGTACTAATTCAGAATTTAACATTTTGTATTTTGAGCCATATTTTGCCCACAGAAAAATTCAGTTTTGTGCCATGTTAGTTGGAATGGGTATTGCATGTTTATGTCTAAAGAGCAGAATTTGGATTATTTCATTACTGCAATTCTTTCTGTAAATTCATGTTGTAAAACATGCTGTCTTGAGATAGAAGAGCTAAACTTCCACTACGGTGTTTCATCTACCAGCAGTAAGGAAGTATGACTAATTCAGCAGCATCAGCCACAATTAAGTGGTATTTCCCACAAAAGTGCCTCCATTACATGCCTTGACAGCTGCTTCCGTCCAGAATGTGTCATGCATTTCAAATAGCTGTTGGGAAGTCAGACCTGCCTAGGTCAGCGGATGACTTGGTCATATAAAAACTGCATACTAATAACAGGGATTAATTCAACTAAATATAGTCAAGGGCTAAATGACCACTTACTGGAATATATAGCCACAATATCATTATGCTTTTCAGAAAATTCAGAATGATGTTTCCCAAAACATCCAAGCTGGGCATTCAGTTGATCGCCATTGCTCAAAGACTGTGTTCAATGGCCCTCCTAAGCAGACCAAGTCTATACTGTAGATGTAGATATCCTGAATCAGCTTCGCAGCTTCTTACAGATGTCAAAATATCCAACGCTGTATCAATGAAAATGTTTATGCTGTGTTTAAAAGCTTATTTATGCTAGAAGAGCCTCTATTACTACAATTATGT